AGGTGACGAAAGACTGGATATCAGATTGGAGGGAGAGAGTATGGAGGAGGTGAATGTATTCAGGTATTTAGGAGTGGACGTGTCAGCAGATGGGTCTATGAAGGATGAGGTGAATCATAGAATTGATGAGGGGAAAAAAGTGAGTGGTGCACTTATGAGTCTGTGGAGACAAAGAACTTGGTCCGTGGAAGCAAAGAGGGGAATGTATGAGAGTATAGTTATATCAACGCTCTTATATGGGTGTGAAGCATGGGTGATGAATGTTGCAGCGAGGAGAAGGCTGGAGGCAGTGGAGATGTCATGTCTGAGGGCAATGTGTGGTGTGAATATAATGCAGAGAATTCGTAGTTTGAAAATTAGGAGATGTGGGATTACCAAACTTATTATCCAGAGGGTTGAGGAAGGGTTGTTGAGGTGGTTTGAACATGTAGAGAGAATGGAACAAAATAGAATGACTTCGAGAGTGTATAAATCTGTAGCGGAGAGAAGGCGTAATAGGGGTTGGCCTAGGAAAGGGTGGAGGGAGGGAGGTAAAGAAGGTTTGTGTGTGAGGGGCTTGGACTTCCAGCAAGCATGCGTGAGTGTATTTAATAGGAGCGAATGGAGGCAAATGCTTTAAATACTGCTGTTGGAGTGTAAGCAAGGTAACATTTATGAAGGGATTGAGGGAAACTGGCAGGCCGGACTTGAGTCCTGGAGATGAGAAGTACAGTGCCTGCACTCTGAAGAAAGGGTGTTAATGTTGCAGTTATATAAACTGTAGGGTAAAGCACCCGTCTGGCAAGACAGTGATGGAGTGAATGATGATGAAAGTTTTTCTTTTTTGGGCCACCCTGCCTTGGTGGGAGACGGACGATGTGTTATGAAGAATTCAGCTGATGACAAAGGAACTTTTTCTTGGAATATTAGCAGATAATACATGTAACAGAGGCAACTGTTACTGCGTACTTCACTCTTAACACTGAATAAATCATTATTTGTACCTTCTTGGATCGAACCTAAATGCTTCCCATTTTCTAGGCGCTACATGACCCATAACAACAACAAAAATAATAATAATAAAAATAATAATAATAATAATAATAATAATAATAATAATAATAATAATAAAAATAAAAAAGCTTCCAAAGTCATAATGAATTTGCAAAAAAAATATACAAATACTTTAAAATTGTATTGATATAATTATAACAATGTGTTGAATACTTTGAAAATAATACGTAAACCAAAAATTGTGGTTGTTTGAGAAGAGAGAGAGTGAGAAAGATTGTGGTTTTTGAGAAGGGAGAGAGAGGGAAAGATTGTGCTTTTAAGAAGGGAGAGAGTGGGAAAGATTCTGGTTTTTGAGAAGGGAAAGAGTGGGAAAGACTGTGGTTGTTTGAGAAGGAAGAGAGTGGGAAAGACTGTGGTTGTTTGAGAAGGGAGACAGTGGGAAAGACTGTGGTTGTTTGAGAAGGGAGACAGTGGGAAAGACTGTGGTTGTTTAAGAAGGGAGAAAGTGGGAAAGATTGTGGTTTTTGAGAAGGGAGAGAGTGGGAAAGATTCTGGTTGTTTGAGAAGGGAGAGAGTTGGAAAGATTGTGGTTGTTTGAGAAAGGAGAGAGTGGGAAAGATTGTGGTTTTTTAGAAAGGAGAGAGTGGGAAAGATTGTGGTTGTTTCAGAAGGGAGAGAGTGGGAAAGATTGTGGTTTTTGAGAAGGGAGAGAGTGGGAAAGATTGTGGTTATTTGAGAAAGGACAGAGTGGGAAACATTGTGGTTGTTTGAGAAGGGAGAGAGTGGGAAAGATTGTGGTTTTTGAGAAAGGAGAGAGTGGGAAACATTGCAGTTTTTGAGAAGGGAGAGAGTGGAAAGATTGTGGTTGATTGAGAAGGGAGAGAGTGGGAAAGATTGTGGTTTTTGAGAATGAAGAGAGTGGGAAAGATTGTGGTTTTTGAAAAGGGAGAGAGTGGAAAAGATTGTGGTTGTTTGAGAAGGGAGAGAGTGGGAAAGATTGTGGTTTTTTGAGAAGGGAGAGAGTGGGAAAGACTTTGGTTTTTGAGAAGGGAAAGAGTGGGAAAGATTGTGGTAGTTTGAGAAGGGAGAGAGTGGGAAAGATTGTGGTTGTTTGAGAAGGGAAAGAGTGGGAAAGACTGTGGTTGTTTGAGAAGGAGAGAGTGGGAAAGACTGTGGTTTGTTTGAGAAGGGAGAGAGTGGGAAAGATTGTGGTTGTTTGAGAAGGGAGAGAGTGGGAAAGATTGTGGCTTTTTGAAAAGGGAGAGAGTGGGAAAGATTGTGGTTTTTGAGAAGGGAGAGAGCGGGAAAGATTGTGGTTTTTGAGAAAGGAGAAAGTGGAAAAGATTGTGGTTGTTTGAGAAGGGAGAGAGTGGGAAAGACTGTAGTTGTTTGAGAAAGGAGAGAGTGGGAAAGACTGTGGTTTTTGAGAAGGGAGAGAGTGGGAATGACTACGGTTGTTTGAGAAGGGAGAGAGTGGGAAAGACTGTGGTTGTTTGAGAAGGGAGAGAGTGGGAAAGATTGTGGTTTTTGAGAAGGGAGAGAGTGGGAAAGATTGTGGTTTTTGAGAAGGGAGAAAGTGGGAAATATTGTGGTTGTTTGAGAAGGGAGAGAGTGGGAAAGACTGTGGTTGTTTGAGAAGGGAGAGAGTGGGAAAGATTGTGGCTGTTTGAGAAGGGAGAGAGTGGGAAAGATTGTGGCTTTTTGAGAAGGGAGAGAGTGGGAAAGATTGTGGTTGTTTGAGAAGGGAGAGAGCGGGAAAGATTGTGGTTTTTGAGAAGGGAGAAAGTGGAACAGATTGTGGTTGTTTGAGAAGGGAGAGAGTGGGAAAGACTGTAGTTGTTTGAGAAGGGAGAGAGTGGGAAAGTCTGTGGTTGTTTGAGAAGGGAGAGAGTGGGAAAGATTGTGGTTGTTTGAGAAGGGAGAGAGTGGAAAAGGTTGTAGTTGTTTGAGAAGGGATAGAGTGGGAAAGATTGCGGTTGTTTGAGAATAAGTAAGTTTATTGAGGTATACACTAATACAGTTACATAGATTATCATACATAGCAGCATATGTGTAAAGTACCTGGGATAACCCAAAAAAGTCAGACATAGTGACTTCTTTCCATTCCATTGTAGTTGTTTGAGAATGGAGACAGTGGGAAAGATTGTGGTTGTTTCAGAAAGGAGAGAGTGGGAAAGATTGCGGTTGTTTGAGAAGGTAGAGAGTGGGAAAGATTGTGGTTGTTTGAGAAGGGAGAGAGTGGGAAAGATTGTGGTTGTTTGAGAAGGGAGAGAGTGGGAAAGATTGTGGTTGTTTGAGAAGGGAGAGAGTGGGAAAGATTGTGGTTGTTTGAGAATGGAGGGAGTGAGAAAAACTGTGGTTGTTTGAGAAGGGAGGATTAGGAAAGACTGTGGTTGTTTGAGAAGGGAGAGAGTGGGAAAGATTGTGGTTTTTTGAGAAGGGAGAGAGTGTGAAAGATTGTGGTTTTTTGAGAAGGGTGAGAGTGAGAAAGATTGTGGTTGTTTGAGAAGGGAGAGAGTGGGAAAGATTGTGATTTTTCAGTAATTAGAGAGTGGGAAAGATTGTGGTTGTTTGAGAAGGAAGAGAGTGGGAAAGATTGTGGTTGTTTGAGAAAGGAGAGAGTGGGAAAGATTGTGGTTGTTTGAGAAGGGAGAGAGTGTGGAAAAGATTGTTGTTGTTTGAGAAGGGAGAGAGTGGGAAAAATTGGGGTTGCTTGAGAAGGAAGAGAGTGGGAAAGATTGTGGTTGTTTGAGAAGGTAGAGAGTGGGAAAGATTGTGGGTGTTTGAGAAGGGAGAGAGCGGGAAAGATTGTGGTTGTTTGAGAAGGGCGAGAGCGGGAAAGATTGTGGTTGTTTGAGAATGGAGAGAGTGAAAAAGATTGAAGTTGTTTGAAAAGGAGAGAGTGGGAAAAATTGGGGTTGCTTGAGAAGGAAGAGAGTGGGAAAGATTGTGGTTGTTTGAGAAGGGAGAGAGTGAAAAAGATTGAGGTTGTTTGAAAAGGGAGAGAGTGGGAAAGATTGTGGTTGTTTGAGAAGGGCGAGAGCGGGAAAGATTGTGGTTGTTTGAGAATGGAGAGAGTGAAAAAGATTGAAGTTGTTTGAAAAGGGAGAGAGTGGGAAAGATTGTGGCTGTTTGAGAAGGGAGGAGGTTGGAAAGATTGTGGTTGTTTTTGAAGGGAGAGAGTGGAAAGATTGTGGTTGTTTGAGATGGGAGAGAGTGGGAAAGATTGTGGCTGTCTGAGAAGGGAGGAGGTTGGAAAGATTGTGGTTGTTTGAGAAGGGAGAGAGTGGGAGAGATTGTGGTTGTTTGAAAAGGAGGAGGTTAGAAAGATTGTGGTTGTTTGAGAAGGGAGAGAGTGGGAAAGGTTGTGGTTGTTTGATAAGGGAGTGAGAAAGATTGTGATTGCTTGAGATGGGAGGGAGTGGGAAAGATTGTGGTTGCTTGAGAAGGGAGTTAGAAAAATTGTGGTTGCTTGTGAAGGGAGGGAGTGAGAAAGACTGTGGTTGTTCGATAAGGGAGTGAGAAAGTTTATGGTTGCCTAAGAAGTGCGTGAGAATGATTATTCATATTGTTTCACACTTGATGCAGTTAACAGTTAAATTTTTTCCGATTTTGATATAGTTTATTAAATAATGATTTTAGCCATGGAAGAATGGAAATATTTTCTGGTAACAAATATAATCGCATACTAGAATTATCCTAAAACTCCTTATTATAAGTTTTTTTTTTTTTTTTTTAAAAAAAAGTCTCTTCGACTTCTTCCAGAATATTTTTCTCAAAATCGCTCCTGTCTATATTACATGTACAAGATGTACAACAAAACTATATAATATTCAACCATGACCAGGGTTTATATTTTATGATTTTATCAACGATACATAATATTTTTAGCCTTTGTTAGATTTTCCCTATCTGTACCATGATTTTTCAAAATTTAATCCCTAAAAGTTCACATATTTGGCATAGCATAAAGAGAATATTAGAAATAATAACTGTTTGTCAACCAGCACGATGTTCTGTGGCCGGAGGAGCCTACGGGTCTCGACCTCAATGTTACACTTCTTCCGCAGTCATTGAAGGAAACTGGATACTCAACACACGTTGTTGGCAAGTATGTGAAGTATATCTCGCTTTGTTGTGTAAAAATATTGAGTCTGTATATTTCAGGATTAATATTAGTCATGCTGTAGTGAAGAATAGTTTTTGGAGCATTTACTAACAATTCCTTGATCAATAAACATGTTTTTACAGCATATTAATAAATTTAAGAGATTTCTTTGATACCAGATAGAGTCTAAAGGTAGACGGTTACCAACAGATGGCATCTTGGGTATTGTTCGTGGGCATACACTCCAACAGAGAGAGGGTTTGATACCTTCTACGGCTACTACACAGGAGCCGAAGATTACTACACCCATGTTCGTCAGCCTAACACTCTCCGTCAGGACGATTTCTGGACACAGTGGAATGATGAAGGCGAGTCAGTAATTTTACATATTTTGCTGTTTAGTGGACTTATATATAATTACGAAATTATCTGTTGAGCTGAGCATTAAAAAAAAATACAAGTATATTTACAGAAAATGTCTCATTTTCTTTTCCAGAAAGCACAAGATTAGGATATGACTTCAGAAACAATACCAAGCCAGACCTGAGCGTCGATGGCATCTACTCAACGGCAAGCTATATTTTTAATCAGAAATCTTCATATAATAGTGAAACCTTTTATGATAGACTGATCAATTAAACGTATTATTGTACTTACTACATACACAGAGCACTTAACTCGGATATAAACCCTCCCCTCAAACGTCTCCTTACCAACCTCAACAGGACACATGACCATAACACAAGGCACAGATCACTCTTTGATGTTCCTCGTGTCCGTCTCACACAATGTAAAATCTCAATGCACATAAAAAGCCCCAAAATCTGGAATTCATTACCTGTGAATATTAAAGAAATACTGTCTCTTTATCATTTCAAGACTCTTCTTAAAAACCACTTACTCACCCACAACTAAATAAATACTAAATAACTGTATCTCATAAATGTATAACCAGTGACCCTATCACACTATGTTTCTCTTAATTACATTACCTAATCTATTAAATACTCCATTCTCTTGAATGCACAGTAACTCATCAAATTACTATATGACCTATCTCTGAAATACTCATTTGTGCTTCATGTTACTAGGGGCTTTTGGCATGTACACAAATAAATAAATAAATAAATAAATAAATAGAGTGAATGCTACATGGAAATTGACAGTCCGACGCTCTACCGTCTCGGCTACCGAGGCCTCTAACATGAATGATTCGTAACTAATACTTACAGTATTATATTCCGTCAGATGCACCAACTGTGTGTGTATATATATATATATATATATATATATATATATATATATATATATATAATATATATAAATATATATATATATATATATAATATATAAGGTTCGAGTCTCCTTCGGCCAGAGATCAGTGTTTGTGTATATTTCGCCTGCTCTTGAGAATTCCTTGCATTGTTAAAATCTCTAGTAAGGCTGATGCATGCAGGGGATGAGATGAAAAGCTATAAGCCTTCTCCCTGAAAGCTGGCTGCCTTGGATCAACGTCTAGCATTGTGCTAGGCACCAAGGTATTGGTCCAGTGTGGTGAGAATGGTATAGCACTGCGTACCTTGTTCCAAGGTTCGTAGGTTAGAGTCTCCTTCGGCCAGAGATCAGTGTTTGTGTATATTTCGCCTGCTCTTGCGAATTCCTTGCATATATATATATATATATATATATATATATATATATATATAAATATATATATATATATATATATATATATATATATATATATATATATATATGAAAGATGAGGTGAATCATAGAATTGATGAGGGAAAAAGAGTGAGTGGCGCACTTAGGAGTCTGTGGAGACAAAGAACTTTGTCTTTGGAGGCAAAGAGGGGAATGTATGAGAGTATAGTTTTACCAACGCTCTTATATGGGTGTGAAGCATGGGTGATGAATGTTGCAGCGAGGAGAAGGCTGGAGGCAGTGGAGATGTCATGTCTGAGGGCAATGTGTGGTGTGAATATAATGCAGAGAATTCGTAGTGTGGAAGTTAGGAGGAGGTGCGGGATTACCAAAACTGTTGTCCACAGGGCTGAGGAAGGGTTGTTGAGGTGGTTCGGACATGTAGAGAGAATGGAGCGAAACAGAATGACTTCAAGAGTGTATCAGTCTGTAGTGGAAGGAAGGCGGGGTAGGGGTCGGCCTAGGAAAGGTTGGAGGGAGGGGGTAAAGGAGGTTTTGTGTGCGAGGGCTTGGACTTCCAGCAGGCATGCGTGAGCGTGTTTGATAGGAGTGAATGGAGACAAATGGTTTTTAATACTTGACGTGCTGTTGGAGTGTGAGCAAAGTAACATTTATGAAGGGATTCAGGGAAACCGGCAGGCCGGACTTGAGTCCTGGAGATGGGAAGTACAGTGCCTGCACTCTGAAGGAGGGGTGTTAATGTTGCAGTTTAAAAACTGTAGTGTAAAGCACCCTTCTGGCAAGACAGTGATGGAATGAATGATGGTGAAAGTTTTTCTTTTTTCGGGCCACCCTGCCTTGGTGGGAATCGGCCAGTGTGATAATAAAAAAAAAAAAAAAAATATATATATATATATATATGTATATATATATACATATACATGTGTATGTATATATATATACATATACATGTATGTATATATATATATATATATATATATATATATATATATATATATATATATATATATATATATATATATATATGTAGTAGGTTGGTAGACAGCAACCACCCAGGGAGATACTACCGTCCTTCTAAGTGAGTGTAAAACGAAAGCCTGTAATTGTTTTACATGATGGTAGGATTGCTGGTGTCTTTTTTCTGTCTCATAAATATGCAATATTACAGGTATGTCTTGCTACTTCTACTTACACTTAGGTCACACTACACATACATGTACAGGTTTATTTATACACACTCATCTGAGTTTTCTTTGATTTTATCTTAATAGTTCTTGTTTCTTATTCTTTTATATCCATGGGGAAGTGGAATAAGAATCTTTCCTCCGTAAGCCATGAGTGTTGTAAAAGTCAACTAAAATGCCGGGAACATTGGGCTAGTAACCCCTTTTCCTGTAATAATTACTAAAAAGAATAATAAGAAGAAAATTGTCAAAGTGGGAAGTCTGAATGTGTGTGGATGTTGTGCAAATGATAAGATAGAGATGATTGTGGATGTTATGAATGAGAAGAAACTGGATGTCCTGGCTTTAAGTGAAACAAAGCTGAAGGGGGTGGGAGAGTTTCAGTGGAGAGGAATAAATAGGATTAGGTCAGGGGTTTCAAATAGAGTTAGAGCTAAAGAAGGCATTGAAATATTGTTGAAGGATAAGCTATGGCAGGGAAAGAGGGAGTATAAATGTATTAATCCAAGGATTATGTGGAGTAAAATAAAGGTTCGATGTGAAAAGTGGGTTATAGTAAGCATATATGCACCTGGAGAAGAGAGAAGTGTAGAGGAGAGAGAGAGATTTTGGGAAATGTTGAGTGAATGTGTGGGGAGTTTGGAACCAAGTGTGAGAGTACTTGTGGTTGGGGATTTCAATGCTAAAGTGGGTAAAAATGTTGTGGAGGGAGTAGTAGGTAAATTTGGGGTGCCAGGGGTAAATGAAAATGGGGAGCCTTTAACTGAGCGATGTGTAGAAAGAGGTTTGGTAATAAGTAATACATATTTTATGAAAAAGAGGATAAATAAATATACAAGGTATGATACAGCACGTAATGAAAGTAGTTTATTAGATTATGTATTGGTGGATAAAAAGTTGATGGGTAGGCTCCAGGATGTACATGTTTATTGAGGGGCAACTGATATATCGGATCATTATTTAGTTGTAGCTACAGTTAGAGTAAGAGGTAGATGGGACAAGAGGAAAATGGCAACAACAAACAAGAGGCAGGTGAAAGTGTATTAGCTAAGGGAGGAGGAAGTTCGGGTGAAATATAAGCAACTATTGGCAGAAAGGTGGGCTGGTGCAGGTATGAGTAGTGGGGGAGTTGAAGAGGGTTGGAATAGTTTTAAAAATGGAGCATTAGAATGTGGGGCAGATGTTTGTGGTTATAGGAGGGTGGGTGCAGGAGGAAAGAGGAGAGATTGGTGGAATAATGAAGTAAAGGGTGTGATGAAAGAGAAAAAGTTAGCTTATGAGAGGTTTTTACAAAGCAGAAGTGTTATAAAAGGAGTAGAGTATATGGAGAGTAAAAGAAAGGTGAAGAGAGTGGTGAGAGAGTGCAAAAGGCGAGCAGATGATAGAGTGTTAGAGGTAATGTCAAGAAATTTTAATGAAAAAAAAAGAAAATTTTTTGGAGTGAGTTAAGCCAATTAAGAAAGCCTAGAGAACGAACGGATTTGTCAGTTAAAAACAGAGTAGGGAAGTTAGTAGATCGGGAGATGGAGGTATTGGGTAGATGGCGAGAATACGTTGAGGAACTTTTAAATGTCGACAAAGGAAGGGAGGCGGTAATTTCATGCACTGGCCAGGAAGGTATACCATCTTTTAGGAGTGAAGAAGAACAGGATGTTAGTGTGGGGAAGGTGCGTGAGGCATTACATAGAATGAAAAGGGGTGGTAAAGCAGCTGGAACTGATGGGATCATGACAGAAATGTTAAAAGCAGGGGGGGATATAGTTCTGGAGTGGTTTGTATTTTTGTTTAATAAATGTATGAAAGAGGGGAAGGTACCTAGGGATTGGCGGAGAGCATGAATAGTTCCTTTATAAATAACAAAAAGGCACAATACCGTGACTGGAACGATGCACAAATAACCCGCACATAAAAGAGAGAAGCTTACGACGACGTTTCGGTCCGACTTGGACCATTGACAAAGTCACTTTGTCAATGGTCCAAGTCGGACCGAAACGTCGTCGTAAGCTTCTATCTTTTATGTGCGGGTTATTTGTGTATAGTTCCTTTATATAAAGGGAAGGGGGACAAAAGAGATTGTAAAAATTATAGAGGAATAAGTTTACTGAGTATACCAGGAAAAGTGTACGGTAGAGTTATTATTGAAAGAATTAGAGGTAAGACAGAATGTAGGATTGGGTGAGCAGGATTTTTCGAGTGGGTGGGGGATGTGTAATCAATTTTACTTGAATTTTATTAAACATATATAGATAAAGGTAGGGAAGTTTTTTTATTGCATTTATGGATTTAAAAAGCATATGATAGGAGGGTAGGAGAGCAATGGGCAGAGTTGCAAGTATTGGAAAAAGGTAGAATTCTAAATGCGTAAAATTTTTTAAAGAGGAAGTGAGCTCAGGTTTGTGTAGAAAGGGGAGAAACTTCCCGGAAAATTATCTTGCAGGTGGTAAGTCACCAGGTTGTTTAATTAATTTAGAGGGGTTTAAAAGAAGTAAATATATTTTGCTCGGACGAGGGTGGATTAAATTAGGGGAATAAAATACAAAAGGGGAATTGACCATTACTTTATCAGAAAACTGTGTTTAAAGGATATTCAAAGAAAAATTGCAAGGTTAGGGATTTTTTGGGAGTGGGGTTAAAGGAGAAATTTTAAGTGGACAAGAAAAGGTAACGTGATAGGGATCAAATGATTAGATAAAGAAAAATTGGATATCATTTGGGAGATCGGAAAGGGGAAGAAGTAATTTTTCAGAATTTGGGAGTTGAGTGTCAGCAATGGATTTAGAAGGATAGGTTAATCAAAAATTGAAAAAAATGGTGAGTGGTGCTTTGAGGTATATGGGAACAAAAAACAATTTCTAGGAGGCAAAGAAGGAAAAGTAGGGAAATTATATGGACCCACTGTTATAATGGGTTTGAAAGCTTGGGGAAACAGCAGGCGAGGATGGTTTTGGGCGTGAAGATGTCCTGTCTAAGAAATTGTGGTGTAAATATGTGCAGAAAATTCGAAGTGTGGGAAAATTAGAAGAAGGTGTGGATTAAAAAAATATTAAGGGGGGGCCCAAAGGGTTTTTGAGGGTTTGGTTTTCACATTTAGAGAAAAGGATCAAAGAGAAAACGGAAAGCATAAATCATAGGGGAAAGGAAGGGAGGGTAGGGGGCGTCCTTAAAGGGTTGGAGGGGGGGTAAAGGAGGTTTTTGTGGCGGGGGGCTTTGGAATTCCACAAGTGTAGGGCGGGGAATAGGAGTGAACCCGGGGCAATGTTTTTTTGGACCTGACGATCGTTGGAGTGTGAGCAGGGAATATTTAGGGAAGGATTTCAGGAAACTAGTTATTTCATAAGCGGGCTTAAGTCCTGGAAATGGGAAGTACAATGCCTGCACTCTAAAGGAGGGGTTTGGGATATTGGCAGTTTGGAAGGATATGTTGTGTATCTTTATACGTATATGCTTCTAAACTGTTGTGTTCTGAGCACCTCTGCAAAAACAGTGATTATGTGTGAGTGAGGTGTTGAATGATGATGAAAGTATTTTCTTTTTGGGTCACCCTGCCTCGGTGGGAGACGGCCGGCTTGTTAAAGATATATATATATATATATAATATATTAAATATATATATATATATTATATATATATATATATATATATATATATATATATATATATGTATATATATATATATATATATCTGTGTATGTATGTGTGTGTACTCACCTAGTTGAGGTTGCAGGGGTCGATCCCAAGCTCCTGGCCCCGCCTCTTCACTGGTCACTGGTTTGTGTGTGTGTGTGTGTGTGTATGTGTGTGTGTGTGTGTGTGTGTGTGTGTGTAAGTGTGTGTTTGTGTGCCAGTGTGTATATATACTTAAGTGTTGCGCTGTTTGATCATAAGTGAACTTTTATCGTACTTAACTACTTTTAGGAAGAGAAACTGTAGTGGTCCTCATCGACGTTTTTAATATCAGTGTCTGCACATCTGTTTTTAATGACTTAAGTAAAATCTACGCAAATCTGAATTATCATGAAATTATTATGAACGGAAGCCAATATAATTTTGTTTTAATTTTGATAAGACTGGAACATTTTTACATAAAAAATTATGCTTGTGGATTTTGTAACAAATTGTATATCTTGTAAATGCTTTTGGGACGTAAAACATTTTCAGATTTTTATTTATGTAAAATGTTTATTTAGGGTTATGTCTGCAATGCATGTAAATTTATTCATTATTAAATTATAGCTATGGGTTAGCATGCCTAGCATGAGCCAGTAGGCCTACGGCCCCTTGTCTTACTGTTTATTTCTTCACTTAATCTTCACGTCCATTCTTCTTGTTTACTGCATCACTCACTCTTCAGGTCCATTCTTCTTGTTTACTGCATTACTCACTCTTCACGTCCATTCTTCTTGTTTACTGCATTACTCACTCTTCAGGTCCATTCTTCTTGTTTACTGCATTACTCACTCTTCAGGTCCATTCTTCTTGTTTACTGCATCACTCACTCTTCAGGTCCATTCTTCTTGTTTACTGCATCACTCACTCTTCACTTCCATTCTTCTTGTTTACTGCATCACTCACTCTTCAGGTCCATTCTTCTTGTTTACTGCATCACTCACTCTTCAGGTCCATTCTTCTTGTTTACTGCATCACTCACTCTTCAGGTCCATTCTTCTTGTTTACTGCATCACTCACTCTTCACGTCCATTCTTCTTGTTTACTGCATCACTCACCTTCACGTCCATTCTTTACATCACTCATCTCAGGTCCATTCTTCTTGTTTACTGCATCACTCACTCTTCACGTCCATTCTTCTTGTTTACTGCATCACTCACTCTTCACGTCCATTCTTCTTGTTTACTGCATTACTCACTCTCCAGGTCCAGTATTGTTATTTAAAAGGACACAAGTACAACTAATGTGGGATTTCATTGTGGCAACGTTTCGCTCTCCAGGAGCTTTGTCAAGCTGTTACAATAAAATGTCGTAATAGTTTCACATGTGTCCTTTTACCTAACATATTGTCGGTAATTCTACCAACATTGTTACGTCCAGTTTTCTCACTTATTTCACGTGTAAGTCGTTCATTCATTATAGATTTAATTTTCACGTTCAAGCGTATATTTAATTTTATGCACTCACTCTTGACTCTCATTCTTCAGACGTACTGTTTACACTTACTCCCCCGGTGTTTAGTTTAACAGTTAAATTTCTTTTCCAGTATCTGTTTGCATCCTACGTGGAGAAACTGTTGTCGTCTCGGGATCCTGAGGAGCCCATGTTCCTCTACCTGCCCTTCCAGAGCGTCCATAGCCCCAATGAGGTTCCTCAAAATTATACCCAACCATACAGCCACATCCAAGATGAACATCGCCGGGTTAAACTTGGTGAGATCATAAATCATGTTATAGTTTTTACCCATTGCGTTTGTGGACTTGTTCGGTAGGTGACAGTGGACATGTGTTTAATAAGTGGGAGAGAAAGTTAGTGTTACTGGAAGGAACACACTACACTGGCCTGGCTGGCACAGCTCTCGCTTCACACACGCAGGGCCCGGGTTCGATTCTCGGAGAGGTAGAAACATTTCGACGCGTTTCCTTACACTTGTTGTCTTGCTCACCTGGCAGCAAATAGGCACCTGGGTGTTAGTCGACTGGTGTGGGTCGCATCCTGGGGGACAAGATTAAGGACCCCAATGGAAATAAGACAGACAGTCCTCGATGAAACACTGACTTTCTTTGGTTATCCTGGATGGCTAACTCTCCGGGGTTAAAAATCCGAACGAAATCTTATCTTATTTTACACTATTTTTTCTTATAATTTTGGAATTGATCTTCATAGTATTTGTCAAATTAACATATTTTATTATTCTTTTTGTCTTCTTAAAATTGGTAAATTAGACACATGTGCAACTCTTGGGTATCTTTATTGAGGAAACGTTTCGCCACACAGTGGCTTCATCAGTCCATACAAAGGAGAATGGTGAAGAACAGGAGGAGTTTGAGGTAATCAGTCCCTCAACCTGGAGTCGATGTAATCAGTGAATCAATCTTGAAAAAAATGCAGCGTATGTTGTTGTTGTTCAAGATTCGCGGGTATTCTCCCGGCCCGGCACTGCTGCCTGTCTAGGGAGTGTCTGAGACCTAAGTCTTCCATGGGAGGAGGCACAAGTACCCCCTCATCTTGTGAGCTACAAGCTCGAGCTCAGGCACCAACACTGCCCTAGAAGGGCTGGGCATGGTGTCGATTGTACCCCTCATCTTCGGGACCAACTGTCCCCAGGCCTAGCCACATTCCCCGCCCTCACGGAGCTCGTAGGGAGAAGCTAGGCCTCTCTGGTCTGCCATCCCCGTCCCAAGGGGGCTAATGGGAATGATAGTCTTGTGAGCTGAAAGCTCTGGCTCAGGCACCTACCCTGCCCTAGAAAGGCTGGGCATGGTATCGATGACACCAATACAACATATGTGAGAAGTGGCTTACATACTGTAGACAATATGAAAGTTAAGACACATGTGCAACATCTGGATATCTTTATTGTAGACGTTTCGCCTTCCAGTGGCTTTATCAATACAAATTCTTGGACATAATAGGAAGACAGTAGAACTATATACAAAAGATGAGGTAATCAGTCCCTCAGCCTTGGAGTTAGTGTTCACAGCATCGTGGTGGAGGAGAATACTGTAGACAGGTGAGGTACAGCAGTCGTAGATGGTATCACATTTGACAAATGTAAATGTGGAAGTAGGTCATGCTTAAAGGTTAGCCAAGTGAAGAATTCCCTGTATTAAGATCCCAAGATATTGCTGTGTCTGACAGCAATATAAATATTTGGTTCAGAGAACCAACAAGTTGATTTAATTTATCAACTTGTCGATTCTCTGAACCATTTAAATTCACTCCTTAAAACTGTTGAAAATGTCACTGAGAATATTACTGAAGTACCTTATGCGATGTGTTAATTTTACACAAATAAGTAAATACATCGATTTATCAAGAAAATACAGCTTGAATAAAAAAATTTAAGTATAATAATTGTGCGTGTAAGGATCTCTTTAAAGTGCTTCAAAATTACTTTTAAAAGTGTGTCGTAAGAATCTTCTAAAAGAGCGTAATTTTTTTTAGGAAAAGTTCAGAATATGACTAAATGAAGTGTGAAGTTAAAAACAAGAGAGGTGATTTAAAGTCAATAATTACTGAATAGTGAATAATGAAGAAAGAAGTCTGGTAATATTAATAACATCTAACGTTAAGCTAATATCAACAAAGACAGGTATTAAAGACAATAATTACAGACAATAATTAAAAACAATTATTAAAGACAATAATTAAAGACAATAATTAAATACAGGTATTAAAGACAATAACTAAATACAGGTATTAAAGACAATTAAAGACAATAATTAAATACAGGTAATTAAGACAAAAATTAAAAACAATTAAAGACAATAATTAAATACAGATACTAAAGACAAAAATTAAAGACAATAATTAAATACACGTATTAAAGACAATAATTAAATACAGGTATTAAAGACAATAATTAAAGACAATAATTAAATACAGGTATTAAAGACAATAATTAAAGACAATAATTAAAGACAGGTATTAAAACAATAATTAAATACAGGTATTAAAGACAATAATTAAATACAGGTATTAAACACAATAATTAAAGACAATAATTAAATACAGGTATTAAAGACAATAATTAAAGACAATAATTAAAGACAGGTATTAAAAACAATAATTAAATACAATAATTAAATACAGGTATTAAAGACAATAATTAAAGACAATAATTAAATACAGGTATTAAAGACAATAATTAAAGACAATAATTAAATACAGGTATTAAAGACAATAATTAAAGACAATAATTAAAGACAGGTATTAAAACAATAATTAAATACAGGTATTAAAGACAATAATTAAATACAGGTATTAAACACAATAATTAAAGACAATAATTAAATACAGGTATTAAAGACAATAATTAAAGACAATAATTAAAGACTGGTATTAAAAACAATAATTAAATACAGGTATTAAAGACAATAATTAAAGACAGGTATTAAAGACAATAATTAAATACAGGTATTAAAGACAATAATTAAAACCAATAATTAAAAACAATAATTAAAGACAATAATTAAATACAGGTATTAAAGACAATAATTAAAAACAATAATTAAAGACAATAATTAAATACAGGTATTAAAGACAATAATTAAAGACAATAATTAAATACAGGTAATTAAGACAAAAAGTAAAAACAATTAAAGACAATAATTAAATACAGATATTAAAGACAAAAATTAAAGACAATAATTAAATACAGGTATTAAAGACAATAATTAAATACAGGTATTAAAGACAATAATTAAATACAGGTATTAAAGACAATAATTAGAGACAATAATTAAATACAGGTATTAAAGACAATAATTAAAGACAATAATTAAAGACAGGTATTAAAAACAATAATTAAATACAGGTATTAAAGACAATAATTAAAACCAATAATTAAAAACAATAATTAAGGACAATAATTAAATACAGGTATTAAAGACAATAATTAAAGACAATAATTAAAGACAGGTATTAAAGACAATAATTAAATACAGGTATTAAAGACAATAATTAAAACCAATAATTAAAAACAATAATTAAAGACAATAATTAAATACAGGTATTAAAGACAATAATTAAAAACAATAATTAAAGACAATAATTAAATACAGGTATTAAAGACAATAATTAAAGACAATAATTAAAGACAATAATTAAAGACAATAATTAAAGACAGGTAATTAAGACAATAATTAAAACAATAATTAAAGACAATAATTAAATACAGGTATTAAAGACAATAATTAAAGACAATAATTAAATACAGGTATTAAAGACAATAATTAAAGACAATAATTAAATACAGGTATTAAATACAATAATTAAAGACAGGTATTAAAGACAATAATTAAATACAGGTATTAAAGACAATAATTAAAACCAATAATTAAAAACAATAATTAAAGACAATAATTAAATACAGGTATTAAAGACAATAATTAAAAACAATAATTAAAGACAATAATTAAATACAGGTATTAAAGACAATAATTAAAGACAATAATTAAATACAATAATTAAATACAGGTAATTAAGACAATAATTAAAACAATAATTAAAGAAAATAATTAAATACAGGTATTAAAGACAATAATTAAAGACAATAATTAAATACAGGTATTAAAGACAATAAAGACAATAATTAATTACAGGTATTAAAGACAATAATTAAAGACAATAATTAAATACAGGTATTAAAGACAATAATTAAAGACAATAATTAAATACAGGTATTAAAGACAATAATTAAAGACAATAATTAAATACAGGTATTAAAGACAATAATTAAAGACAATAATTAAATACAGGTATTAAAGACAATAATTAAAGACAATAATTAAATACAGGTATTAAAGACAATAATTAAAGACAATAATGCAGGTACAAACGAAGAAATTAAAATGTTTAGAAGAGACCAGTTAGTTAACATATATTGCCATAATAAATGAAGAAAATGGTAAATAAAGATGAATCTACCTCTACTAGACTCCATACCCATCCTGTGGGTGGTAGCTACCCCATACCCATCCTGTGGGTGGTAGTTACTCCATACCCATCCTGTGGGTGGTAGTTACTCCATACCCATCCTGTGGGTGGTAGCTACCCCATACCCATCCTGTGGGTGGTAGTTACTCCATACCCATCCTGTGGGTGGTAGCTACTCCATACCCATCCTGTGGGTGGTAGTTACTCCATACCCATCCTGTGGGTGGTAGCTACTCCATTACCCATCCTGTGGGTGGTAGTTACTCCATACCCATCCTGTGGGTGGTAGCTACTCCATACCCATCCTGTGGGTGGTAGTTACTCCATACCCATCCTGTGGGTGGTAGCTACCCCATACCCATCCTGTGGGTGGTAGCTACCCCATACCCATCCTGTGGGTGGTACTTACTCCATACCCATCCTGTGGGTGGTAGCTACCCCATACCCATCCTGTGGGTGGTAGTTACTCCATACCCATCCTGTGGGTGGTAGCTACCCCATACCCATCCTGTGGGTGGTAGTTACTCCATACCCATCCTGTGGGTGGTACCTACCCCATACCCATCCTGTGGGTGGTAGCTACCCCATACCCATCCTGTGGGTGGTAGTTACTCCATACCCATCCTGTGGGTGGTAGCTACCCCATACCCATCCTGTGGGTGGTAGTTACTCCATACCCATCCTGTGGGTGGTACCTACCCCATACCCATCCTGTGGGTGGTAGCTACCCCATACCCATCCTGTGGGTGGTAGTCACTCCATACCCATCCTG